CTGGCTCCTGGATCTCTAAGGAGGTGCTAATCTAGCCTCTGCCTGAGGCTATCCAGCAGGAGCCAGCTGTGAAGCAATGCAAGTTGCCCTGGGGCCTTGGGCCAGCTGCAGTTTGTTAGGTAATTATCAGGTTGCAAAGGGCCAGGCCTTTCATATGCAAAAGCCTCCTTGGCTTGGGCAGGGTGAGGTCCCAGGGGATCTACAGGGCGGAGCGAGCAGTTATGGCTGCTCTCAGTCCTGCCCTCAGAGGCCCTGCTTCTCAGTGTCCGGGCAATCGCTACAAGCACCCCCGAGAGAAAGCTGCCCTCGAGTTCTGACCGATGCCAGACAGTCCAGTTTCTCCCGTATGAGTCTGGGTCCCCAGAGACTCACCCGGAACTGGAGCTCAGAGCTTGAGACTCCCTCCCGATTGAAAAAGACAACCGTGTCCTCAGCCGCCAACCCTCTCCACATGCGCCTCTGTACCTCTGTATTTTACTTCTGCACCACACCTCCTCTGAGTCTCGGCATGCTTTTCTCTTTCCTTCTAGTTGTAGAATTCCCACTCAGCCAGCCTTCCTGTGGTTCTGGATGATGTCCGTTCCGTCTTTTAGTTGTATTTTTGAAGTGGTTGTGCGAGGTAGCAATCTCCTGTGTTTACCTATGCCGCCATCTTGTTTCGGCTCTAGGCTTTTTTTTTATCTCATATTTAAGACTGGGTGCTAGAGAAGCAGGTAACCCAGAAACACCAAAAAGCACAGATTTAAAAAACAAAATAAAACAAAACACTTCCAAAAGTCTGCCCTATGTTGCCAAAGGACCAAGAAAGGGAAGGTTTAGCAAGAAAACAACTTTTTAATAAAATAACTGCTCTATTGCAGCCAACACTAGAGGAAATACCATGGTCCCATACCTACCCTCATCCACGAAGGATAAAAGGGAGAGAGTAGACTTCTACCCTCACGAGACTGTAATGATACCCCAATCATCCCACTGTGGTGGAATCAGAAAAGGACAAGACAGCACTGAAACTTTAGTTCTCACCAGGAGTTAAGTGAGGCAGCCCAATGGTTCAGTGGAGACCAAGTGGAGAGCTTGGACATTCAAGCTCACCTATAAATAAGGAGGTGACCTTATACCTCCTCACAAAGCTAATGCAAAAGGGATGCTTACTGGACACTCAGAACCTGCAGCACCCAGTAGTAACAAGGACATACCACTCTGTGGTGTTAGTGGAGGATACATACATATAGAAATGATGCACTTCTATTCCTCCCAGACAAAAAGCTATCAGGGAAGTATTAGTGGGGATCCAGAAATCACACATTCACTCACAGTAACATTAATAACCACAACCTCTGTGACAACCAATGGAGCCTGAGAGGAGAACCTAAACTTTACCATGACCTGGCAATAAAAACAAGGTATTTACCTCAGTTTGAATAAGATCAAGAATTTCATAATACCCACAATTTCCATGTTCAATCAAAAGTCGCTCTTCATTCCAAGAGCCCAGAGGATCTCAAACTGGATGAAAAAAGATAACCAGTAAACCCCAACATCTGAGAAGTGGGGTGCTGCTATAATAAATACCTAAAAATGTTGAAATGGCTTTAAAACTGGGTAATGGGTAGAAGCTAGAACAATTTTGATTTGCATGTTTAAAAAAACCAAGATTGCTTTGAAGAGACTGTTGGTAGGAATATGGATGTTAAAGTTGATTCTCATGAGGTCTCAGATGGAAATAAGGAAAATGTTACTAGAAACTGGAGGAAAGGCAATCCATGTTATAAGGTGGCAAAGAATTTGGCTGAACTATGTTCTAGTGTTTTGTGAAAACTATAAGTTAAACGTAATGGATTTGAATATTTAGCTGAGGAGATTTCTAAGCAAAGGGTTGAAGGGTCAGCCTGCTATCACCTTGTTACTTACTGTAAAGTGAGAAAGATAAATTGAAAAAATTTAAGCAAAAGTTAGCCAGAACTTGAAGATTTAGAAATTTCTCAGCCTATCTTTTTGGCAAAAATCAATAAAAAGTCTTCAGAAAAGAATGCCAAGGGTATGTCTAGAAAATCATTTGATAAAAGAGATCATGGGTACGACTCATAGGTTTAATAGAGATGGAATTTTACTTGCA